TGAATTTGCCTCGTATATGGAAATATAGAAACTCCATTCGACATATTGCATAATACAAACACATCCACCAGAAGACGTCACCGTAACCGTACCCCACCACCAACTTACGAAGTGCCATCAATTCCAAGTATGAATCGCCACGAATCTACTACCGATCAAAGAGATCGTTCCGCATCGCCCACCCGAAGAGTTCCCAGCAGAAGAGACGAGAATATTAATCGAGATAATGCAAATAATAGTGTAAGTCAGCCTTTGGTTGAAAATAATACAGATGGAGATTCAGGCCATAACGCGAATGATGTAGGTAGAAATTTAGATAATACGACATACTCATCTTCATCTGAGTTAGCAAATATGACCTCAGCCCTTAATATATCTGCATCACAAAATAACAGTGATTTAAGTATGCCCGATATAGAAGGAGGTAGTCAGCCACCCTCTTATATGGAATCTATAAATGAGGAAAGTTAAAAAGTAATAAATTTTATTGCAGAGCAATGGTTCTTCGAACCTACCCGAATGTTTGGTTATATTTTTGTTATATGAATAAAAATTACGAGTTAATGAAAATCACATACCTGAAAAATCGATTGCGTAACACGGATGTTCGATCAACATATATCACCTGGAAAAATTTCTACCGAAAAGTAATGTGACACAAGTATTGTGAAACCGAATACATTTTTTTTTCACTTTTTCTTGTGTACCATTCCGCAGTCTACCAATAACATTCCACCAAAAAATCATATATAACTCGAAATGTCTATTACCTTGGTTTGTACCCGCGAATGCTTTCCCTGTTGATATTGATAGGGACCAGCTCGTTGGTTATCTCAAAAAAGCCATCAAAGCAGAGCAACCGCAAACTTTCGCTGGTATTGACGCCAAAGACATCAAATTATGGAAGGTGGAAATTCCTGACGATCACGATTCCGAGTTGGCCAACCCTGTATTAGATGTCGAACTTCTGGCAACGAAAAAGATTTCGAAATACTTTCCTGCAACGCCAGCCGAAGAATGTATTCATGTCATAGTCGAGCCACCGGTGCAAATCGCCAGTTCGAGCCGTGAGCTTGCAGAACTTCGGGAGAAGTTGGAATCACTCGAGAACAATCACAGAGTATTTACGATTAAAGCTTCGTATGGGAAGCAACGCAAGACTTTCTCGTGGCCGGTTAATATCAGTACAGTGACCCTCGATACTATGAAGTTATCCATCCTCAAAGTCCTCCCTTTTCCGCAGGATACAAAGCCTGAGGATTTAACCCTACGTTTCGCCAAAGCTGATGAAAAGAATTGTGAAGAGTTAGGTTTGGAAGACGATGCCACATTTCAGCAATATCTCAAGTCTTGTGCCGTGCAAGCGTTCTTCACTCTCAAAGTACAAATCGATACTGTGCAAAAACCATTCTCCGATTGGAAACTCGGTAAGGTATGCGAACTCCTTGGCCTGGCGTCAGGCATTGATGAATTCCCCACTTTCGATTGCGGTATCGACAAACTCGATTCAGAAAAAGCCAAGGATTTGATGTCCCATCTTTGCAAAGATTTGAGACTCCGTTATAAAGCGATTCACGGCGAAACAGAAGCAACTCGGAGCGAATACGTCTCCCCATTTCTTGTGGTTGCGACGTCACTATTCGAGGGATTAGTAAAAATGTATCCTCAGCTATATATTGAGGGGAAGTATGGCCGAGGCCCGCTTGATTTTTTGTTTGCGTCTTCTTGGAACCATCATCGGGGTCGTGGAGGTAAAGAAAGAGGATTTCGACCAAGGCATGGCCCAGGTATAAGGATTCTCATAAAATTATGTGCCCGCTTTTGCTCTGATTCATAGTTTCTAATCTTGCTAACTTCTTAGAATGTGATTAAACTTCATTCATCGCTTGAAACTAATCGAAAGCGCAAGCATGGTGAGATCGAAAGTGAGTTTGCCGATAAGGCGTACGGGATCGTTACCGATGGCCGAGCGTGGTATTTTGTCAAATTTATTATGGATGGCGATAAACCAAAAATTAGCGTGCATTCGGAAACGCCAGCTGTTTTGGATTGGACGGAGGAATCGGAAGCTCTAGAAAAGGGGGCGAGCAGAATATTGGGTCGAATCGTTTGGCTTTTAAAAGAGGCGGAGCAATGGGGAAAGTTAAATATGGTGGAGAAAAGGCGGAGGATCCATTAGTGTGAAAATATATGTTTTTTCCCGGTTCTGTAGTTTATTTTTGTATTATATAACCCTTCCAAGCGCTTTTCGTAAAATAAAGCAAGCTTGTACCACACGTGATTTTTGATTACTGATAACCCGAGTTTCGGTGAAACGTTCTCCGATCAGGTCTCATGTACTACAAATATTGTGAACGAATCATGATAGTGCTGATCCGGAAATGTCAATCATGTTATGTGTGCATTGATTATCTATTGCAGAGCAATGGCTCTTCGAGCCTACCACCAACTGTTGATCGAGCTACATTCCGACCCTTAATTCATTTAATACGGGGTACGCAATATAGCTAATTCATCTATTAAAGCATTCCCCACCAGAATGTTGTTTTGCGTGCGAGTTCATAATGAGAATGACGAATTAGTTACTTAGGATTCTAGCACGGATGAACCGAGTCATAATTGGATTCATTTTCGCTGGTTATTGTGATCGACACATGAGCGACAAATTTCGCGTTCGCTAATGTTACATGTCATATTCTGTAGTCTGGAGCTGAAGCCTATAAAAACGCGCTATGTCGCGGGTCAAATTCGCAGGTTCATCCTTAGAACAAATTGCAATATCACGCAAAAACGCACAAAATCTAATAACTCATCGACGCGAAATCACACAAATTTACATCGCGATAAAAACTCTATACAGAATGTTCTCAAACACTACCGATTTTCTCGTATTCGTCGGCGCCATGCTGATCCAAATGGTAATTTTTTCCATCATAACCTGGTGTAATTCACGGAACACTGAAAAGCGATTCGACGAGAAAATGACTGTCTCACTCAAAAACAACAAAAAATTATCTCTGGTTTATCTGAAACCGTAAAACATCTTGGTTATGACATTCGTGAAGTTCGAGATGGGGTCGCGAGAAGTAGTAATGCGGGATCTGGTACATCCAAAACACCTCAAAATTATACTTGGTACCATTTTCGATCTCTGGGAAGAAATTGATGCGTTATTCAACGAAAAAAACGTGTCGACAAGCGATCCATGGCAAGGCTGTACCCCAAGGTAGCTGAAGAAATCCGAACTCTTGTTATCGATCATAAGAGAGGTGTAGCGATTAGTGATGCCACCATTAGGAATTTCCATAAAAAAACGACCAAAAATCCGAAAGAAGAGACATTAGACGCATTTAGACCATATAAAATTAATTTCATTGTGGTTCGTTTTTAAAAATATTACTATCAATAAAAGTATTTATGACTCGCCCTGTGATGCCTGCGTATTTCGTAACTGCTAAAAAATTGAGTGTACACCCCGTGATAAATGTTGATCAAACATTTATATTACCACGGAATAAATTAGAACTATACATGATATAATAATAATAAACAGTGATGTTCGCTGGAGCGTCCAATGGGAAATCACTGGAATTGGAATGTCATCAGACCTGCTGGATGGAATTGTGTAACAGATCAGCTTCCAATGGTAAGTTGTCACTGGACTCTTCCAATCAGGACTTTTGATGAACTTGGCAAATTTTTTTTACTTGGCCTATATGCTCAATAAAATGATACTGGTGTAAAATGGCTCGACGACATACAGGTGATTGCCAAATTTCCGAAATAAAATCACATACCTGAAAAATCGATTGCGTAACACAGATGTTCGATCAACACATACATTACAGAATAAAATCGAAGGTCATGGAACTTTTTATGCATGATGCATCGCTCCAGTTCCACATTCCCTAAATCTACTACCCCCATACCTAAATGAGAGCGGAGGAAACGTTTTACAAGGAAAGTATATTTACGTTGTGGTTGTCCGTCGCTTTAACTTGTACTTGCGATTTTATAGTAACAATACTTTTTTACACTTAACCGAACACCCATCAGTATGACACGTTCAGTATCTAAGATTGAGGCACTTTTATTAGAAGAGCCATTAGACAGTCTTTGTGGTGCGTCCGCAGTTTACCTGGCAATAGAAAACAACCTTTTACCCCCTTTCGAGTATGTAAGAGGAGTGATAGACCGTGCAGTAAATTCGTCACTGTTGAAGATAGAAAGTAATGAACGAAAAACAAAAATATTGGAAGTGTTATCCCAGGTTGGTAAAAATTCAGATTATGTGATATCAGCCGTGCTGGCTCCAGCCAATATTTAATGATGACTATGGTAAATGTGAATATTTAGTTTTGGTATGTCATAGCTAAAGGTTGGGGAATGCCGGCCCGGAAGAGCTATGTC